GAAATGCCATGTAAATATATATAAACAACATTTTTTTTCCTGTAATTATAGAGGCTGGGCTATGTGACCTCCTGTATGCTCTAGTGGTGGCTTATTGACTACCTAAATATACACAGCTATAGTACTTGTCAATTTGACCTGGAGTGAACCCTTAACCATTCTGTATTCTCCACAACAGTGCTTGCTTATATTTTTTTCTCATCTTTAAGCAATCATAAGCTGGTAATCTCAACTGCAGTCAAGGCAGGGAAACCTTTTCATTAACATTTAGAGACTAAGATCTGAGCTATGTATTTTTTGAGGAAAATGCAATGCTCAGCTCAGTGACAGAAAATATTATGCACGTACATTTAAACAAGATGGTCTTTAATTTTTCCAAGTGTAAAAATAAGCCTTTAATACCTTCCAATTGAAAATTACACTTGGAAGCAAGCATTACCATCCCTCTATGTGGCTACCAAGGTCAGGAAATGGAGCTACCTTCTCCCTTTAGGATTTCCCATGCATCAGCTGACCTCTGTGACTCTCTCTGTGAGGACAAAGCTGTTCTGCAAATGACTGAATTGTTGCCTTCGACACAAGAAGCTTATTTTACCTCACGGTTTGAGCTCCAACTGCAGCACGAGGAATTTCTGCCTTCCCAGAAGTGCAGATTGCATGGTGGTCAGGGAGAAACAGGGCTGTGCTGTGGGGTCCCTGGCAGCATGCACCCTCAAGCCATGGGTGTCTCCCATGCTGGCAGCATCACTGGCTGGCAGGACACACTTGGGTCATGCCACCCCTGGACATCAAGACAGGTGGGGTAAGAGCCTGCCCAAGTCATCTGGTCACTGCATCTGACCTACTTTGTGCTCTGCACACCTGGCTACAAATCCAGAACAAATCTCCAATAAGATGTCTTGAGTTAAGGACAAAAATACCTCCCCTGAAATAAAAAGGAGCTGGCTTGGAAATACAGCTGACGCCAAGCTGAGACTCTGCTTCTGTATGCTTATTTATGAGCCTTGGACTGATCTCCTTGTTTTTTATGCTTCTTTTTGTAACAGGAATTGGAATACTGACCAGGCTGAGCCTAAGGCACAGTTCTGCCTAATTGGGAACTACACGATTTCATCCAACTTTTCTCCACCGTAAGCTCTGGCAGTTACATGAGAAATCTGTGTCTATATCTGAAACTTCTCTTTCTTATACTTAGCCCTCTCTTCATTTGGAGACATTACCTCTCCTGCTTCTCATAGTGATCAGATAATGTGCAGTTGTACCCTGGATTATTCAACTCATTTGGAAGAATATACTAGTACTAAATATGTGCAAATGAGCCCTATATAACGTTAATTTCTCAGCACCTCTTTCTCCTACATCTGTATCTTAGTACGGTATTTAGAGATACTAGTAAGCATGAAACGCAGGATAAGCTATATTTTGCTTGCTGTGGCATTCTAATATTCTGTGTTGAAACATTTGCTGTGTAAAAATTTTGAATTTCAAAACTGCTAAGTAGAACAATTTCCATTTCCACTACAAAGTCTCCTACAAATGAAGGTATGTTGAGGAAAAAGAGCACTTTCACATTCAAATTAAAGCATAACACTGTTAAAGATCAAAGTAGGCCTGACCATTTCAATTTCTTTTTGGTGGAATTAGAAAACTAACATGTGAAGAAAAGAACGTAAATGATGTGCAAATTATGTCATAGAGTATCTTGGAAAATATTATTTTTATAACTAAATCAATGTGACAGGGAAATGAAGATGTTATTTGGATTTTTCAGAAAACCTTACTGTTGGATAGAAAGTAAAAAGTAAATGCTAAAGTAATTTATGCAACTACAGCAAGTTGTTTAGTCAGGTGCAGCAGAGACTTTTGTTTGAACTTGTTTTACAAGCATTTAACATTTTCATTAATAAACTGAAAGAGAGGATTCACAGCAAGCTAATTAAATGAAGAGATAATTCTCAACTGAAAGAAGTCACAAAGAATCAATGAGGACTGAGACATAATGTAACAGGATTGAAAAGGTCAAAAAAATAAGAAAGGGAAAATCAGATTCAAACTTGAAAATGTGTAGTCAGAGGTATTTTAATAAAACCTGCCCTATATAGGAGAGAAGTGAGTGAAAAACAAGTAAAGCAATAATACTGAAAGAATAAGTGAGCTGGATATTGGCTGGCATGTGATGCAGAAACTGCAAATACTACTTTAATTCTGGGCTGCCTGTGAAGAAGTGTGTCCCTTGGAGAGCTTACAGCAACTTTTAGGAGCTCAAGAATGTGCAGAGCCTCATGCATTCTTGTATGAGATAAAAATTAAGATAGTTACACTCAAGATCAGGCAGGTGGCAAGGGAAGTTGTGCTTAAAAAAGTACAAATATAAAGAATATAAAGAATACAAAGACCAGGAGAAAACTAAGACTGGAAATTTGAATCTGATAGAAAGTCTTCAGTGAGGAAAAGAACTAACACGATCTGGGATACTTAAAGCAACAGTTTAGGATATCACTAGACATGGTATTATAAACAAATTTCTATCAGGCACGAGGATCAATGCAGTGCAGCTTTCCTATCTTCTAGATATTCTCTTATGACTTCATCTTACAGTTAAGGCAGTAATTCCTATTTAACATGAACTGAGCTTATTCCTAAATGTCACTGGCGTAAGATGCAATGCATTTGAAATTTAAGAAATCTGAAATTTAGTTTAATGTATGTGAAATTTAAGCACACTGTAACATGAAATCAATGCAGCCCAGTCTTTAGTGTTTTCCTGCTTTGACTGCAAGACTGCAGCTTTACAGATGGTCCAACAACCCACTGCAGCATTAAAAACTTTGTTTTTAAGCACTGAAAATATCATTTGCCTATGCATTAATCTCAGTATTTCATGGTACATCTCTTCCATTTTTTCAGTTGTGTCAGCTGATCTGTTACACTACATTATCTCCCACTAACACCTCTACCTCTCTGCTGTAGGAGTCACAAATAACATGAAGCAGTACTTGGGTAAAATTCTAGCAATATAGGAGCCTCAGTTCCAGTTTCAAAAGGAAGAGAGGTAAATGCCAGCACCTGAATTTTGCTGTCAGCTCCCAGACAGGACCTTAGCTATGAGCTTCCCCTGCTCAGGGTGTTCCCTGCTTTTTGTGCTCCAGAAGGGCAAAATTGGCCAGATGACACAGAGGATGGAAAACTGGAAAATGCAGGGTGGGTTTACGGCTGACTGATTTAGGGCTAGGAAAGCCAAAAGTGGGTGAAAATTTAAGAATTATGCATGATTTCTAAGCAATCCTGCAAGAGATAGAAGTTAAATGAGTCTCTAAATCTCCGTGAGTCAAAAGACTCTATTGACTTCAGTGGAATCCTTCAGGAACTAGGGATATAGTCCTGTGGCCATAATCTCTCTTTGGGGTCACTTCTGTAACTGAGCACAAACCCAAATTAATCGACTATCAGAACTGTCATATTTCTGGTATCTCCTCTCAGTCTCTCTGGGAATGTTTCCCTTTGGTACAAGGTTCTGCAGAGAAACAGCTCTTACGACTGTTTCTCAGCTGGTCTGGAGTAGTGCAAACCACTGTTGTAGGACTGAGGTTTTCAAAAACCACATGTGAGTACTATTCAGAGGGTCACAAGGAGGGAAGTTGGGGCAGATCCTAATCCTTCGCACTGCTATGCTGTGGGTGTAGGACTTCACTAGACAGCAGCCTAGACCAAATGTGATTAACAAACCTTGTCTCAGTAAACAGAGTGGCAGAAAAGCATAACTCTCTCCTGTGTAATTCGCAACTAAAGCTCTCAATTTGTTACAAAGCTTCCTGCACATGAGCATCCATGTTTAGAAAAAAATGCTACAGATTCTAGCTGCACCTTCATTTTTTTATCAGACGGTAACTCCTA